GAAGAAAACGGTTGTTTCCCAGCTATAGCATAGCTAACTTTAGCTGTGAATTTTTGGATCATATGTTTCTCTGCCTGCATAGAATTAACCTTTTTTCTTTTTCAATTTTGATTTCTAAAAATTGTAGAGCTAACACAAGCACTTTCATTTCCAACCTCTTATTGAGCCACAGAACATGAAGAATACTACATACCCATCTAGTCTAACATGCTAGTATCGTGTGTGGACACCTGCATATATTTTATTATTGTGGTCTGCTTTACATTTACAATTCTTATGAAGAGCACCTGCACCTTCTGACTAATATTTTCCAGGCCACAATGACACTTAAAAGGTGCTGAGGTACACAACCTTCAATCATTTTGAGAACATTTTCTACACACTCACATTTTTTCCACTACTATTCTTTCTTTCAGGAATTCATTCATGTTCACATATTGCTGCTCTTTCAGTAAATAAAAACCTGTCTATGATGAGGAACACCACACTCTAGATTTTTGATTAGTTTCCTCTAAGAGGAAATTCCCTTCACAAAGAACAGCGTCAGCAAGATAAGAACATTTTGTATAGTTTTTTTAAATCTTTCTCTTCTTTCTCTTCTCTCTTACAGCAGGGCTGCACGTAACCTTTAACGTATAGCTCTCCAGAATTGTGAATTTTTAAGGCATGGCTCGCTATTACATTTGGTACGGCACTTGCATTTACTTAGCAAAATATATTTTATGAACAGGCCTGTCCTTGCACTCACTCCCTAAGGAATTAATCATTCGGTTTAAAAAAAAAAAATTAATCATCCGAGAATAAAAAGTTTTTCCTTTCTGCTAGATGGTTTCCTTTCTATCAAAATGGCTTTTATACTTCCTACCAGCTCAGATTATGAATCAGTATTTTCACATAGAGTACATTAACTATTGTCCCTTATTTCCAAGGAGAACCTAGTAAGAAAAACAAAATGTATTTTCTTCTCTTTAGATACAAATCTTTCCTGCAACCAACAGTGGAACTAGACAACATTAAATGACATGAGATGTACTGGCTCAGCACCACATATATATCTTTCTTGAATGTAACCCAGCAAAAAAGCAAGAAAAGTGGAGGAAAGCTTTAAAATGAAGTTAATACAAGATGTCTGTGAAGGTTCTTTCATCCAGGTCATGGTATATTTGTAAAAAATAAGTCAAGGCAACTGGACTTGCTGTATTTTTCTTGAAGGCGTTTAACTGGTCATCCAACCAGCTTTCTCAATTCAGAATGACTTGTACAAAAAATTATCTGGGACTCTACACCAGCGGGCAGAGAAAATTCCCACCAGAACAGGGGCCAAGACGAAGGAATTCAAACACCTCAGGGGGGCCCTTAAAACTTGCGGTTATCCAGACTGGGCTTTTGTTAAAACAGAAAAAGGAGAGGAAAGAATGCCAAGAGTACCAGTGAGAGTGAAAAGCATGACAAACAGAAGAATTTGGTCATCCCATATGTAGCTGGGGTGTCTGAGAAACTCAGAAGGGTTTTAAAAAAACATCACATCCCTGTCTGCTTTAAACCCAGCAATACACTGAGGCAACAACTGGTTCACCCAAATGACCCAACGCCAAAACACAAGATGAATAACATTGTGTATACAGTCCAGTGCAGTGAGGAGTGCTCAGAATTGTATGTCAGTGAAACAAAACAGCAGCTACACCAGCGTGTGGCACAGCACAGAAGAGCAAAACCCTCTGGTCAGGATTCAGCAGTATACCTACATCTAAAGGAAAAAGGTCACTCCTTTGAACACTGTCAAGTACGCATCCTAGACAGGGAGGAGGACTGGTTTAAAAGAGGTGTGAAAGAGGACATTTATGTAAAAATAGAAAAGCCAAGCTTGAACAGAGGTACCTGTGTCCCTTTGGGGAGATTTCCCTTCACTTCCTGTCCTGTAGACACAAGAGGAAGCAAGGAGGAAATCTCTCCAAAGTAAGGGATATCCTCTCTTAAACAGTCGTCAACACTCTCCTGCAGCCAAATCACCGGGGACATAGTTTCTTGGTAATCCTCTTTAGGTGTCCACCATCCAATTGATAAGGTAAGTAAGAGAGGTGGGATGCTCCACCAGAGCTGTGAGGAATACAATGATGACAACACAGGCTGGCACTTAGAGAATTCAAGAGAGTCAACAATAAAAAACACATTGGAAAACCGAGGTCACCCATTTGACCCCAAAATCCTAGACCATCTTCTTTCCAACACATACAAGAGTGGCAAAATATTGTAATTTTATTAACTAGGCAACCATGCCAAGAGATCTGCAGATGTGAAGTGGAAATTCAGTGAAAATTCTGGTGCTCCCACTATGCTCTATGTGTAACTTCAGAAATACACAGTCAGCAGATTTGAGGGGCCTTAAATTATAGAGTTCCTCATACATGATTTTCAGGTTCATGCACAAGGCTTCCACATCTTTATTACTTCAATCACCATATGGATCATCGGTACATAGACCACAGAAAGACAAAATATGGAGCAGTTGCCCAGCTGATTGGTTGTCATGCACAGCTGCTCCAGATTTTGTCTGCTCCACTTTTGATAGATTCCCCTAAAAGTGTATTACCGCTGAGTAAAATCAACACTTTTTTTTCAATTCCCAAAAATGCTCACATTTAAAAGTGCACCAAGCACTATGACAACAGTATGGGGGTGATTTACTAACCTAAACACACACACACACACCAGGTGTGTGTGATTTTCACACAGCAAAACGTATTTATCAACCAAAAAGTCTCTAAAAGCATATTTCCACTAATGCCATATATGGAAAAATCATGCATATGATGCATATATAATGCTGCTTCACAGTTTAGACAAAAATGGTTAGCTCATGCATTTACATTCCTTGCATTCATCAACGCAAGCAACACAACATAGAGCTAATTTACCCAACATCACCTTGGAATTCCTTCAGGGCTTTGCACAACACACCTGCTGGGTGTGTACACATTACAAAGGTGTTTAGATTCCACCCATAGATCATGCTGGGAGGGAACACACTGCAGAGGTGTATACACGTTCGTGGTGTGTTTATAAGGTTAGTAAATCAACCCCTATGAGTCAAGTGTAGAATCCTGCCTGCCATGATACATCGGTTTCTCCTGACTGTCACCACTGAGTCTGGGGTTCTCTTTTAGAGTGTGTAGTAGCAGTCACATGACTCGATAATTTATTCTGCTCAGTCCCGCCATACTAATTGGGCCTTGCAGCCTCATCAGGGAAATGAGCTGGAGATTTCAACTTGCATTAAAGGAGTTCTAATGGTAAAGCATATACCTGTTATAACATTTGCATTGTAATAGGAATACATAGTTGCAGTTGCAAAGCTTACTTGGAAAAAATCCCTTTTGATTGCTGCCTTCTGTCTGCCCATCACTTTCAACAGCTTCCTTTATTCCCAGTGTGCTTTGCGTCTCTTTCCCTGCTGCTTGATGTGATGCAATCTCAATTTCTCAATACAGACATTCCTCGGTTACCGACTTACCTGCTTTGCGACCACTCGCACTTACGACGGACCGCCGATCGACCTCCGACCTTGCGCGTCAGCGTCAGTGCGACGTGTCGCCTGGCGGAAGTGATGTCCTCCGATTTTCACTGCGGGTCCCGGTAAGTATTTTCATTGCCCGATGTACAGTACACTGTTCGGTAGTGTACATCTGCAACACTATACGGTACTGTACTAATGCAGTACAGTACTGTATAGAGTTCCTCACTTAACAACCAATTCGTTTAACGACCTGGTCGTAGGAACGGAACTCGGTCGTTAAGTGAGGAATACCTGTACTACATGTCTCATCGTGCATTGCTTCCAGCAAGCAATGATAATGTTACATTGTTCAGATGTTAAGTTGTAGTTCAGAAAGCACGTTCTGTGAGCTGTGACACAAGTTAGTGCATATTCACAGGGCTGAGTGGAATTGTGTCAGTGCATTGAGGAATTGCATTCTATCATCAATAAGTAAGTTTACAAACTTCTAGATCGATATGGTTATTAGGAGTGGGCTAGAAATCATGGAAATTCAATATAGAAATACATATTTATTTTTTGTTTTTAACCTTAGATACCCTTTATATATCAGCCAACCTGATTAGCCCTTTGTCCTGCTGTACTCCCACAAGTAGCACTGATGTACTAGGACATATGGAAACAAACAGTTTAACCCCTTTCATGCAAGATGCAGTGTATTATGCAGAGTTTAGGGATCAGGCTGCACCCACATAACATTACTAAGCACTAATAAAAGCATACCAAGCAAAGATAAATTAGTACATATCTTAAATGACAATATTGTATAGCAACCAACAAATTTCAACAGGTATTTTACTTTTTCCCATACCATATATAGAGCAATCTGCCATAGCAACTGAAGAAAATTACAAATATATTACAATTTCCCATATTATATTCATAGAAAGTATATACTGTATATGGGTAATTGTTCAATAACAGTGCAATGATTCTAATACCTTATGAGAATACATTTGTATCTTAAAGATGCAAGTTCACCAAAAGTGGAACCTCTCCACTTTTAATTCTAGTATCTATAGTGGAAAATTCCAAACTAGTAGGTTTCCTGTTATGATAATTCCTGTAATGTAATGAAAAGTGTCTTGAGACCCTTTTTAATGTTAGGCACGTGTTTGCTCATACATGTTTCAGGATCTCATTGTCCCTCCAGTATGTTGAAGTCATCATGGGCATTCCACAAGATAAGTTACAACTACCACACTAGAGGCAAAATAATTCCTAATGTGGGAACATTTTCGTACACAGCCTGAGGTTTTTAAGAAGCAAAGGGCCCAGTAAATTATATTTCAATACAATTGTCCAACTTAATAGTAACTACCAATAGTTTCCACATTTTCATATTAAATTTAGTGAAACCCCCCCCAAAACTGTTTGCATGAGCTGCTATTATTTAATTTATTTTGAGAAAAGCCTGACAGCAGTCATTTGACTATGTGTAACTTACAAGGTGATGATACGATCATCAAGTGGAGCAGGTGTGTCATACATGGCCAATATATCTCTACAATCAGGTCGCATCCATTTGAGCCGCAGTCGCAGTAGGTGCGCCGGAGGGCCTTGCAGATGCCATACACAGGAAGAAGTGGTGTGGTCAGGGCTTGGGAGACGTACTTCTTGCCCAGAATTCACATAGCTGTACCTATAGCAGTCTGCAGAAGAAAGAAGGATGGGGGAAAGTAGTATGAATAAACAAAACGAGAGAAGGGGAGGTGCAACACTTCATATCCTTCACCCTGGGCTCTGCCTAATAACGACCAACTCTAATCATTACAGACTCTTGTTATCAGCCTCTACCAGGTTAGAAATGGTCTGTCACAATCATTGCTCAAAATTGGAGGCATGCTTGTTTATTAGACCACTCATGGGCACCCTTAGGTCTATTTTAAAAATCCTCAGAGATCATAATAATTATTTCCTCATGTTTCCAGATAGTCAAATTAAAGCTTTTCTGTGGTATGCTACCATTAATCTGACCTTACCTCCACATATTAAAAGATGAAAACACATTTTACCAATGTGGAACAACCAGTTTGTTGTTTGCTGCTTCGCAACAAGGGGGAATTCTTAGCTACATGCATCTGTGAACATTGTGTGAATTTTGATCAAAGCAAACAAGCAAAGCATTTCTAAATTAAGACATTTCAATTAAGACAACCAAAAGACTAAAGCCAATGTGAACACAAGAAAAAAGAAGAACCTTAGGTATGCTGAGAAGAAGACACCAAGGTTAGTAACCCAAGAAATGCCCCCAATGATACTGTACTGAAAATAAAAAGTATGAGTATATTAAAAGTAAAAGGTAGATTAACATTGAATTTTTGTACTTTTTTTGTGTTAAGCTTATGTTTCTTTTTAGACAATCAATTTCCAGTTAATTAACTGAAGCATGATTTATAAGAAGCTGATGATGTGGATTGTCCTACCAGTACTAGAAGAAAACATCTGCATGTTCTGTAAGCTGGCCTCTGAAAACACAATTCAAAATAAATTAGAAGAAAAACCTTTAGAATGCTCAGGTACCAGGGACCGAGAAATGGGAACCATATTTAGTAACCTAAAACTGCCAGTCTGATGGCAAGTGTAATCTTTGATACGAGAATGTGTAGTAATCTTTGCTCAGTATACAGCATGTACATCTAGGTACTCTGGTACTCCTCTGCTCCTAGGACAGCACAGACATGCGTTCCTACTGCCTACCACCCAAAGCCCCATCTCCTTTGCACACATATAAGGGGAAACATTGAGCGTCCCAATCCAAGAGAGAAATTTGTAGCAGTCACATAGTTAAGTGTACACAATGGGGTATATTTAAAAAGTAACGAATGTGACATTCACCAAACATTCACTGTAGTGTATCCTTCTGATCTATGTGTTTTGAATAAAAGTGATTGATTCACCTGCAGTGAATATTTGGTGAATTTCACATTCACTGCTTTATAAAGGTGCCCATATATATTAATTCACAACTTCCAACTATCCCAGTTATGGTGAGACACACTCTTTTTTTTAGAACTCGATCATTCTGTCCCTGTTTTCTTTTTTCCTTCTTGGCATAATGTATGAACTTGTACTGTTTCACTTTTAAAACTGTTATATTGCACTATATATTTTATTTAACCTCAGTTTTGCATTTGTTATTTTCAAACATAAGTATTATGGAAAAGTATTGCTAAACAAAGCATCAGCGGGTATAACGGATCTACTTTTGAGTAATCATTGTTCATAGTTTAGGTAACAGGGTGGTGGTAGGAGCATGTCCTCTGTCTTTATATTCTTTCTTCATAACTCTGTGCGAAAACGTATCCCTCTTTCCTATATTGAAAAGTTGGGTGGTATTTTGATCTATATTGCAGCAACACCAATTTTTCTACATAAAGCAAAAAAGAATGAGTAAAAAACTTTAAAAAAACCCAGCAGAAATATGTCTGGAAGATGTTCCATGCAGCATTTGGTGTGTTGGAGAACACTTGCTCCTTTAGAGCAACCTTTCTGAAATCTGTGACTTCCCATCTGCTGTGGAAGTCCCATCATACCAGCCGGATTCTGAATATATGGAAGAGAATATTGACATGGGAGAGCCACATGTTGTAGAAGTGTGCTCTGGAGTGACTGATGTGGCTAACAGATTCAAACATTACATAGAAGCTGCACAAACTTTTCAAATGTACGGCATGCCATCTGCTTCCAGACTCTGATTGACTGCCAGGTGGACAAATTTAGCACAATGTATGAACCTATACTACTGGAACAATGTCCTGCAACTAAGTAAAGTGACAGTAAACTTAAGACTTACATCTTACAAATGCATTCAAGTACTATTAACCCTTTCGCTGCCAAGCCCTCCAAAAATGTTTTGAATTCAGCTGGCCAAGCCATTTTTGCAATTTTTCCCACTGATTTGATTTTCAACTGCTGCGTTGCTAGCGTTTGTAAAAGACCCCCCAAACCATATATTTTCTGAAAGCGCAGGCCCGGTAGAATAAAAAGATGGTGATACTAAATTTGTAGGCCGTGCGATAATTGCGCAAATGTTTCTCAAATTAATATGAAACCGATAAAAATACACAATTCAATTGATAAAACACACTAAAATCAGTATCCGTACACAAAAAAAATAATTTTCTCACTAAATCTGAAAGATAAAACTGTATTGAGTTAATAAATAACAAATATTTGCAAATTTGTAATTACGCCTTTTTGCGAAAAGTAAAAAAAATGAAGGTATGCAAAACTGTAAAAAAGCAACTTATGTTAAAAATGGTTCTTACGCTGTGTTGGTGTTTGTGTTGTGATAAAATGATACAGGCATATATTTAATTGCAACACAAGGTATCACAACGCATGGCACAAAGATTTGCCATGCGCTGCCACAGTTAATTTCATGTTTTTTTTAAAGAAAAAAATAATTGACTGCAATGCGTTCTAACAACGCACTGCAGCCCATGTGCATGGCGTACACCAAGACATGTGTATGTTATGTGGGGGGAGGGAGGGGTTGTGCTTTTTTTAATTATTTTTTTTGTACACATTTTTTTATTTTTTTACATTTTCTATTTATTTTTTAATAATTTTTTATTTTTATTTTTTTACTGTTGGGGGGGCTGCGGCGAAATATCTGGGGTCTAAATAGACCCCTGACATTTCCCTTTTGAAATAGAAAAAGAAATTGAGGACATAAGTCCTCAATTTCTTTTTCTGCAGCCCCAGCACTCAATGAATGAGAAGCCTCAGTACAGAGGCTTCTCATTCATTCACAAACTAATGATAGTAAAAATATTTTACTATCATTAGTTTCTGAATGGGGAGGAGCCTCTGTAGTGAGTGCTAGTCCCCATTCATAAATTCTTGAATGAACAGGCTGTGATGTAGATCACAGCCTGTTCATTCATAACTGGGGACACATAGTACTATGTGTCCCCAGTTATTTACAAACACCGGAGTGATCAGACGATCACTCCGGTGTTTGCTGTAAACAGAGGGATCGTTAAATATCAATGATATTTAACGATCCCTTGCTCGGCCACGCTACAGAGCCGCTGTCATCCAAAAACTGTCAGGATGACAGCGGCTCCGATCACTATGCCGCTCGGCCATCCTGAATTGCGGCCAGCCACCGCTTGCTCCCAGGACCCCCCCGACCCCCCCGCCGGTGATTTTATTACGAATCCCCGCTGCCACAGACCCTACAAGCAGCGGGGATCCATGGAGTCGGCGCGGGGGGCGCCCGGTATTTTTTGTTAATAGCGGTCATCAGCGGCTTGTGAGCCGCTGATGACCGCTATTATTTTGAAGGGGACAGTCTGCTAAACAGTTTTGCTATAAGCTTATGGTCGCTAAATCGACCATGAGCTTATAGCAGAACTGTAAATGCCACCGACGTAAGGCATATTGAGCTGGCCAGCCGGGAACACTTTTGTTCTGCCGTATGCCTTACGTCGGTGGCAGCGAAAAGGGTTAACAAAAATGTATCTTATTTGTGTATCACTCGGCTGTAGATCCTCAAATCATCTTTGAATTGGTGCTGACACTGTCCTTCCTTCTGGAGGGTGACTACTTTTGTTCCCCATGGTCCCTGTGTGTTGCAAACTAGCCACCACTCCAAGTTCACTTTAGTTTACTAATTTGTATTAAGATTGTAGTCCATTACCAGAGCGAGTTTGGAGTGGAGATTACTTTACAACACAGAAACCAATAAAACCTTGCAGGGGTTCTAATCACTCAGAATTCTATTAGAAACTAAAAAAAAAGTTTTGGTTTTAGAGACACTAAACTCAGGCCATGGTCCCTGTGTGTTGCAAACTAGCCACCACTCCAAGCAAGCTTTAGTTTACTATTTTGTATTGAGATTGTAGTCTATCACAGGAGTAGGCTTAGAGTGGTGATTACCTTATAACACCACCGGGACTATGGGGAACAAAAGTAGCTATCCTCCTGAAGGAAGGACAGCGTCAGCATTAGGAATGGTCTCGATATTCAAAAAACAGTTTGACTCGAACATTGCCCAATCTCGGCACAGTGCACTGTAAGAGCCATGATTGGGCAACGTAATGATGACTTTGCCCAATCATGGCTCACTGCTAAGTCTGGTCAGGTGTCGGACAAATGTAAACAGTTGTTTATATTTTGCCCGTATCTGTCAGAATGCCATTCTGCGGCGGGAGTTCGTCACGAGCGGATAAGTCCGCAGGTGTTGGGGTATTTTTTCTTTATTATTTCTATCTGTAAAAAATAAGTCAAAGCAACTGGACTTGCTGTATTTTTCTTGAAGACGTTTCACTGGACATCCAACCAGCTTTCTCAAGACCTTGAGACTTGAGAAAGCTGGTTGGATGACCAGTGAAACGTCTTCAAGAAAAATACAGCAAGACCAGTTGCCTTGACTTATTTTTTACAGATATACCATGACCTGGATGAATGAGAACCTTCACAGATTTATTATTTCTATTTATTTATTTTTATTTTGTCAAGTCGTTGTCGTAGTCGTGGACAACGCTGGACATCGTGATTGACCTTAGGATTATGTCGGTGGATCCATTTTTGTTTTTTTAAAATAAAAGTCTGGTCAAAATCATGTCTTTTGGGTTTTTTCAAATGAAACAATTTTTTTGACAGTGTGGCGTCTTTTTTACAATTTTATTTTACCCCTTTAGTGAATGGGTAGGGGTATAAGTACACCTTACTCATTCACAAAGGGGGGGCGCATCTGGGTTGCCTCTTTATTAAAGGGGTATCCCGATGTGAATAAGCCTGGTAAAGCAGGGAGGGGGGCACTCGTTCGCCCCCCCCCCCTTTCCTGCCCTGCCAGGTCTGTTCTCGGTTAAAGGGTCTGCTTAGAAATTTTAGGGGAGACCTCATGTTTTTCCCCCCATTTTTTGGGGTGGGGTTCCTTCTTAATATTCCTACCAGACCTTAAGTGCCTGGTATGACTTTGAGGGGGAACCTCAAGAGCTTTGTTTTTGTTTTAAATGGGGTCCCTCCTAAAATTCCTACCAGACCTTAAGGGTCTGGTATGACTTTTGGGGGGAACCCCATGCTTTTTTTTCCTTTTCATCTAAATGGGGTCCCTCCTTGCATTCCTACCAGACCTAAAGGGTCTGGTATTGTTTGGGAGCGGGAACTGTATGCTTTTTTCTTTTTCTTTATAAATATCATTTTTGCTGCAGCAGGTTCTATACATTGTACAGATTTGCCACTTTACAGGCAGTTTAAGGGGGGCCCCCAGGCATGATATTTAAAGGATTTTTTCATTTTTATTGTTTCACTTTAAGTAATTTTAAAATCACTGCTCCTTTAAAAACGATATTTTTTAAAAGTGTTTTTTTCCATTGATGCATGTCCCCCAGGGCAGTACCCGAATCCCAATACTCTTTTTATGGCTAATAACTTGCATATAAGCCTTCAAAAAGGGGACATTTGATTTTCAGAGTTCTGGTCCCATAGACTTTCATTTAGTTCGAAGTTCGAGTTCAAACTTTTTCCATGTTCTAAAGCTTGAACTCAAACCAAACTCAGGTGTGTTTGGACCATCACTAGTCAGCATGAATTCAGAGATGATTTTGAAATTGAGTTATCAGATGATGAATAGAGAGGATATTTTTTCCACTGGGCACATGTTCTAATGGTAGTCAAATCTGACTGAATAGTGTGGAAAAATAGTCAAAGATAGATCCTACAGATCATAAATAAATATCTCTTCAAATGCAAACATCTTTTCTACTCACGTGTTGGTCAGTATCATTATACAAAAATGTAGATTAATAGCAGATGGCCCATGGTGAACTACAATTTGTTATTGGACTGCCAAAAAGTGAACTTATGATATCGTATAATAAGATTGTGATGGTCATGTAACATCATCTTGTAGTCAGAGATGCTAATGGGCAAAATGGCTGATAGTGCCCAAGGGCTGGATACACACAAACAGTTGTACGGATATTTTTTTATCCACACTATTCAGTCAGTTTTGACAATATACTGTGCAGTGTAGAATCTTTATTTGTTTATATAGACTGCAATACTTCATGTATTAAACAATTGCAGATTTAATATATATCATCTGTAGGAGGATCAAATTATTATGAGTATATTTATATTTTTATAATGAAGCTGATTACAGTATGGGGGATCTGTGGCCATCCAATGGTGTATAATATTTAATCAGTTCGCTAATAAGAAAAAAAAATACTTTTGCAGAGTAGTATTGAACTGGATATGTACTTGTTATACTGTTATACTCACATTTGTATATGGATATTCCTATTTTTTTGTTGGAATGTTGAGAGCGGTATTGAAAAGTGATTTGTAAGCTTTTGTTTTTTTTGCCATGAAAGCTATAAGTGGTTTAAATCTGTTGTCAATCTGTAAATTTCAGAGGCTTAATGATTTCTACTTATTTGCTTTTTTAGTTTTCTTAGTGGCAAACTTTAGACAAGAACAGACTTTTGCTGACTCCTCAATGGTGGTTGCTGTTACTAGCTCTTACTAGTTTATACAAATATAAGAAATAGTTTGGCGACTATGTACAGGTTAACCTTGCAGAGCTACCACAAACAGAGTCAAATCAGTCAAAAAATACCACACACTTCATTTTTGTATTACATACTGTTCACGTACTCACTTTTGTTGCCAGCGGTTTAGACATTAATTTTGAGGGACAGCAAATGTACACTGATTAACAAGCTGTACACTCAATACTTTACATTTTAGCAAAGTGTAATTTCTTCTGTGTCGTCACATGAAATGATATAATCAAATATTTACAAAAATGTGAGGGGTGTACTCACTTCTGTGAGCTATTGTATATATACATATATATATATATATATATATATATATGACGCCGACAATCAAGGGCCCACCGTCATTCAAGGTAAGTCACTCGAAATACCTTTTTAATGTTAAAATATCAAATCTGTATTAGTGATATATATATATATATATATATATGATCAAAATGTAAAACAAAAAGAGCGCCTCCATCGTGTAAAAACGCTTTAATATATATCTCTGTGAGATACTATATATATATATTTATATTCTGCAAACATAAAGAAAGGAACATATACAATGTGTATACTGACCATATATAAACAGTGAGTATGGTTCCACGTAGTACTGGTCAAAAATGTAGCCTTTTGTGGTGTTAGCCTTGGAGGTCAGAACACGGTTAAGTGCTGTCCTTACAGAGCTTACTGTGACATATTTGTTGTTTGAATTAGGGACGTCCAAGATTACCCAGAAGTAGACTGTTAAGCCCTTTCTAAAGAAAGAAAACATGGATATTGGTGATATCATCAATTTAAATTATATACATGTAAGTAGAAAGAAGAAAGATAAAAAACAGAGCTCCCAGTAATTTCAACTGTTCTGTCTGGATACGTTTGATCTTACTATTGCCATACCCTACCCTGCTTTATCTAAGTTACACTAAGGGCCTGAAAAGCAGGCAGAAATATAGCTTTACTGTGGCCATTTGCGTTACAAATGTGCTTAATCTGAGTAAGTAAAGCCTCATTTCATATCAATGAATGCATTAAAAAAGTGGGTGGGGGAGGATAGCCGAATCACATAATCTGCATATCACCAAACTATCCTGTTTTATGTAGGACACTCCTAAAAATCTAAACATCCTGAGGTCCTGCGAGTCTACTCCATGTCCTGGTGGCGGGGGGCACTCTGTACACTGCGTTGTATGTTATATACTCCTGACTCTTGTGGCCTATAAAGTTTGTCATTTGTTTCATAGTCCTGACCACTGCACTATACAGTATATTGCATGTTATTTAGTCCTGATTGCTGCACTCTGTAAGCTGTGCTGTACGTTACATCCTCCTGACCAAAGTGTTTTTTGTATCACTACTTACTGGTTGCGAAGTTGTTGCCAAGTATACTAATAAACCTGTTTTTTTTTAAGTAGGCTTGTTTTTGTTTTTTTAAAGTAGGCTCAGACAGAAAAAACATACGTACAGAGTATTTTGTAGCTACATGACAGTGGCAAATGTGTGCAGTGTGTACTGTGGGTAGACTCAGACTGTGTTACACCATACACTTTTAAACCATGTCCAACATTCAGCAATCTGTAGACAGACCCATACAGCATGCCATATAACCTTTCTCAGTGTTGTCCCTCTTTTTGAAATTCTAGAGTCGAGAGTTATGGGAGTCTTCCCTGTAGCATTATACATTAATTACACGTATAATTTAGGAGCAGCTCTCCATTATATATGGGCTCCTTGGACTTAATTGATCAATGTATTTTATTGGAGTTTCTGAATTGTCCATCCAATATAGGAAGTTGTATACTTCTTTGCAAGGATGATGTGCCTATCAATCTAAACATCTCAACTTATGGCATAAAACTTAACTTCATTTTATCCACTTGTCATGAAAATAATTTGATTCTTGCATAATGTATTTATCACCCAATGTGCATCCTTCTGTTGGTAGGTGGTCTCCATACATTGCTACATCTATACATAATGGAGGAGATCTGTTTCAATATCTTTGCAGTGGACCCAAATCAAATACGCTATCACATTAATAAATTCTTACTTTTCAACATTGTATTGATCATTCTCTCCTTAACTTGTCCATTGTTACATCGTTACATAGTATTTGAGGTTGAATAAAAACATTAGTCCATTAAGCCCAACCTAAAATGTGTCTCTATACCAGTGTTTTTCAACCTTTTTTTGTGCAAAGGCACACTTTTTTCATGAAAAAAATCACGAGGCACACCACCATTAGAAAATGTTAAAAAAATTTACCTCTGTGCCTATATTGACTATATATAAAGTAATTCTCTTGAATAGGAATCAAATAAACACAAAGAAATTATTTTATAATTACTTTATTATGAAATAATAAAGTATTTTATAATTGTTAATATTTCTGTTCAATCCATGACTTAACTTCACACTTCACACAAATACGTTTTAAATTCAAACTGTAGCACTGACGTAGCCCTGGTTAAAGTAGGGTTCAGTGGGGTCTCACTAATCTTTAATTAAACCCCAAGGAGCCCTGGTGAGACCTTACCAAGCCCTGCTTTAACCAGGGCTCTGTAGGGTCTCACCAGCACCAGGGCTCTTTGGGGGTCTCACTTGGGCACTGTGGGGTCTCACCAGGGCTCCTTGGGGTTTAATTAAAGATTAGTGAGACCCCACTGAACCCTACTTTAACCAGGGCTCTGTAGGGTCTCACCAGCACCAGGGCTCTTTGGGGGTCTCACTTGGGCACTGTGGGGTCTCACCAGGGCTCCTTGGGGTTTAATTAAAGATTAGTGAGACCCCACTGAACCCTACTTTAACCAGGGCTCTGTAGGGTCTCACCAGCACCAGGGCTCTTTGGGGGTCTCACTTGGGCACTGTGGGGTCTCACCAGGGCTCCTTGGGGTTTAATTAAAGATTAGTGAGACCCCACTGAACCCTACTTTAACCAGGGCTCTGTAGGGTCTCACCAGCACCAGGGCTCTTTGGGGGTCTCACTTGGGCACTGTGGGGTCTCACCAGGGCTCCTTGGGGTTTAATTAAAGATTAGTGAGACCCCACTGAACCCTACTTTAACCAGGGCTCTGTAGGGTCTCACCAGCACCAGGGCTCTTTGGGGGTCTCACTTGGGCACTGTGGGGTCTCACCAGGGCTCCTTGGGGTTTAATTAAAGATTAGTGAGACCCCACTGAACCCTACTTTAACCAGGGCTCTGTAGGGTCTCACCAGCACCAGGGCTCTTTGGGGGTCTCACTTGGGCACTGTGGGGTCTCACCAGGGTAGCAGATTTTGCCTTGTACACACATGCGATGACTCACCGGCCTAAGAGTGAGGAGGAGACTTAGCCCAAGTGATTCCGTCAGGTAACGAAGAGAAGGGGGAGGAGTCTGTGACGTCACCAGGCTCCTCCCTCCTTCCCTTCCTTACCCATCACGGACAACTACATCACCCGACTCCTCCCCCCTTCCCTTCGTTAGCCGACAGAGCCACTCGGGGAAGGGGAGAGGAGTCCGGTGACGTCGATGTCCGTGACGTCACCGGATCTCCGACGGAAGACCCGGAAGCCGGCGGAGAGGTGAGTAACTTTGATCGATCAAAATAATTTTGATCGATCAAAGAAATTAACGATTTATTGACGGCACACCAGAAAATATCTCACGGCACACTAGTGTGCCACGGCACAGTGGTTGAAAAACGCTGCTCTATACTAAATATCCTTGGCCTTCATGTAGTTCCTCCCTTCATTTTTCTCCAACATGCTGTATAATAAAAAGATGGTGTCTTCCAATTCTACAAGCTGTGTTTTTGCTTTACCTGAGCCTTAACATTTATCATTTTTCTGCTTTCAGATAAGCAGACAGCTCAGGCAAAACAATGTATCTTCAGTCCTCCTTCCTGAACATCTGATCCCTTAACATTTCACTGCAAAAATGTTATTTCACAGACCAGCAATGACTGCTACAGTGAGTGAATTTTACAGGGTTATTCACAAAATGGTGAAGAGTTTGGAGAAGGCAGGAGACGTGAACAATCAAGACCAAAATAGCTGGACTGGAAAGTGGGCTGAATTGGAGAATCTTTCCAAATCAGCTATTTTCTCCTAAATTGTTCACTTCTCTTGCCTTCTCCAAACTCGTCACCCTTTTGTGAATAACCCTGTTAGAGTTAGAAAGGCCTATTACTGAGAGAATGAGTAGACATGTTGACGACAATAACAAAAGGCTTGCTAATGTGCAATTCATTTGACATCTCCTCATAATTGCTTAGCTATGTGTACAACATATAGTGATAGATAAGAAATCTTTCAACTCTGAATACCATACATATAAAAAAGGAATTTCCTTGTAATACCCCAATGTGCATGTTACATATATTAAAGTGCATGTATAGCCAGGCCGGACTTCAATTTTGGGCACCTGTAGGCACGAATTTAAATCGGTTTAGCCTGAGCCGTCGCCCGTACCTGCTGCAGGACCCTCTGGCTTTCACATATGCAGAGAAGGACCCTGCCGTCGTGTAAGGCTGCCCTAAATGCCTGTACGCATCAGACAGGCATTTTACAAGGCAGCCATATGCAGTGCTGAGGTCCTTCCCCTGCGTTTGCAGAAGCCAGTGGTTCCTGTAGGGCATAGGCGTCACTACAGGGGGGCAAGGGGGGGCAATTGCCCCCCCAAGCTTATTCCTTGCCCCCCCGTGTGCCCCCCCGCTGAGTGCCCTTTAAATCGACCGCTGAGGGGGGGCATGCAAAACTTTGCTATGGGGCCCTGTGATTTCTAGTTACGCCCCTGTTTAGTTATTTTCAGTGGTATGATTTAGTGGTGAAAATTATTAGTGCTCCCCCATTTTGACTGTGGTATCTTATGTGCCCCCCCTATATATTGTTCCTAGAGTCGCCACTGCTGTAGTGGCCGCTGGTCTTGGAGCAGATGGGTGCCTTTTGTGCAGCTATTGGTGGTGTTGCATCTTGAACTATTTAATTCTTAGCAGGGTTTGCACTGAATATTTGTGGCCAATATTTTCTGTTATATAAAGTTTGATGATCACTTTTGTAGTATCTTATTGTATGTATACACTGTCAGTTTCCTTTATATTTACTGTGTTTACATGAATATACTTCTACTATTTATCATTATACATTGTTTACAGTTTTTTATCTTCTGGGACTTTTGTAAATTTTAAACCCAGGCCCACAAGGGTCTACTCATTTCGGATTTGGGGAGATTTTTTTTTGACTGTGAGAGAAGACTAGAGAACTTATGTTATTAAAGTTTTTTTTTTTTTAATGTTAGGTTTTGTTTGGAATTCAAATATTGATAAAGTAAAAAATGATATAGTAATTAGTTATTCGTTATGTCAGGTATTGTGGGGGTAGTTGTGCATCTTTTTTCATTTCTGCTTTCTCTGTTGTAGTTTTTGCTATTTATTAATCTTGCAACAGAATAATCATAAAGGTTTATGGATGTGATGGGTTAGGACACTATGGAACATTTACATTGTTTAGTAAATAAACCTCAATGCCTTTTTGAAAACCTTACCCAAAAGCATAAACTTTGCTTGTATTGTAATAGACAGCCAGCTCAGAGGCCAAGACAAGACCATTAACCTGAAAAAAGAGAGTACTATGTTAAAACAGACAAAACCAGTTATTATGGTAACTGGAATGCAAAAACATCTGGGCTTTCAGACATTCAGCAATCTTTTCAGGAACCCCTAAATAGAAATTGAGCAAATAAGTACCTACTAATCCTCCTCTTCTGAGGGAGAAGGCTCTGGGTAATAGGAAGTACTTTAATTACCATTCTAGTTCAGTGTTCCTCACTTTTCTTCAGTCATGCACCCTTTAAAAATCTGCAAAATCTTAAAGTGACATTAAACCCTCAGATTTTTTAACATAAAACAATAGTGTAATGTGTGCCTTACTGTAATCCATGGTTGTTTCCCTTCTCTTTGCTGCTCTTCCTTTTAAATCTGTATCTGTTCTCATGCTCTGCAGAACTTCTGTTTTGCAGCAGACTGCCTTGTCTCAGGAATGGATACAAGGTGTCTTTGTATAGATTTGTATAGGCTTGAAACCTGAGCCAGCACTACAGGAAGAGGCCCTGAGCTGAAAAGGGAAGTTCTCCCCAAGCATGAGAAGACATGAGGATTTAAAAGGAAGAGCAGCAAAGAGAAGGGAAACAACCATGGATTACAGTAAGGCACACATTACAGTATTGGTTTATGTTAAAAAATCTGAGGGTTTAATGTCACTTTAAGTCAAAATATAAATGCAAAATGATGTGTTGGTCTGGTATTGATTCGAAGGGGAACCCCCATGCAAAAACACACACAAAAAATGCAGGCTACCCTCACACTAGGAGCACACTGTACATTAGAAGCCCATTTACATCAGAGTGCTACCATCACATCAGAAGCCACAACTGCGGCAACATGAAAAGAGAGAATGTGGGAGGCGGAGCAGGCCTGTGCGGAGGCAAACTTCTGTCTTTTTTTAAAACAGATCCCACTCTCCTTGGAATAGCATCATTAATTTTCATTGTGCTGGCAGCTGGCCCCCCTGCACCATAGAAAAGAATGATGCTGTGTGAACATTTTGATACACGCCTGAGGAAGCCAGAAGGCACCCTTAATAAGAAAGGCTGTTCTAAACGCTAAAAAATATATGACAACCCCCCCCCCCCAAAAAACAAATGGTTCCCCCAAAAAACAAATTGTTCATCATGATCAAATGCCTAACAAACTCTAATTTCCCATGCAGTTGAGCGTTGTCAGACAGAAAAGGAATCAGAGAGATCTTCTTCAAATCAGACAGAAAATTCTCAAGGGGGGTACTGACATAATTTAAATCAGACTTTATAAACCCCTCTCCACCGTATCCAAAACTTTAACACGTTTTTCTAAAGCTGGGATGTCCAAGTGAGAAAAGCTTTTCGTAAATGCTTGTGAATGCTGTGCCATTGGTTAGCACTGATAATAAGTTATACTGATGCTTGTTGTTTAGCTGCATTCTAAGTGCCTGATTTGAATGCGTACCCATACTTATCTTCTATTGTTTTAAAAGTATAACATACATGCCCAATGGCCAATCATAAAAATAAATAAATTAGAAGGTCCCATGGTGATGGGGCAGACTCCTCATCCATTGTTTTTAATAAATGCGCTTTGCCAATGGTCACCCTAAGGTAGCCAACCGCTGTGTGTATCCAGTCTCCAGTAATGCCTTTCAGGACCTAGGGGTAATGATGGAAACATACTGAACATTGCAGCATAATTTAGACATAAAAGGTTTATTCACTAGAGCAGTTCAAAATGTAATACTGATGTGCAAAGTCCCATAGCAACCAATACAATTTAAGTTTACATTAGTTAAAGCTGACCTATACTCAAACGTTAACACATCTATAATAATAACAGTGCTTAAATTGATAAATATAAAATGCTAATAGGGCTGAAATACTTACCTTTCCTGGGGAAAATGTTATTCCTTCAGTGCTGGTTACATTCTGAAGGTCTAGGCATTTGGTCATGTATTCTCTGCTATAAGGCAGGATTAGTTGATGACGTGCATGCATACACATAGAAAGTTCTCCGTACATGTGTCCAGCACTGTAGGAAACCTGGAGCAGCATTTTTCCAGGAGAAACAATAATTTTAGCCTTTCTTGTAATTCTGCTTGGCCAGTCCTGTGAGTCATTCACCCATGCCAGACATAGCATAGCTTTTACTGCAATCAAGCAATAAAGACTGGTCCTGATTTGTAATTGAGGATGCTGAAGGCCTGCCCACAATGTGAAGCTTTAGAGAGAGGGGAGGAGCTCCAGGGGTATAACTGCTTTTCTTTTTGTTCTTCCTTGACCAAAACACACTTTTTACCCATGTCTTTCGGAGGAGCCCCACTGCCAGGGTAAAGTTTAATTATTACCCAGAGTTCAGCTTTAAGATATGATTTCTGGTTAGCACTATGGGTTACTGCACTTTGAACTGCACATTGTATAAGCTCAATGCTACCGCACAACATTTTTTAAATAATAAGTTTTAATACCAGTTTTTCCAGATGCGTGGCTTCCTTTTTGAACATGTTGCTCTCAGGGAATGTGAGGTCACGGGTGAGGGAATGACTGATAATGCGCAGATTACAGGCGTAGACTTTATTAGTTCTCAGCTCTGGCTTGAAATCCACCTCTGAAAGACACATTGACACAGATGTGAGAAACAAGGACAATGAGGACGATTCCTTGACAGTACATACATTTTTAACATGACAAATGACACTGGCTGACACTCATTAAAATCTGTAACCTTTTACATACCTACTTACAGCACAAATAGATTTGTTTTAATTCGTAGTTGTCTTTTTATCTGTTTCTTTGTGTCATCAAAGACATTAGCTAATTTATGTTCTGTACTCTCATACTCCACGTCATTGTTGACATTATCCCTATAGAGCTGCATGGTGGACAGAATGTGACAACTATTATGAGCTCCAGCAGCTTATTGAGACTCAGCACTTTCCCCAGAATCGGGCAGCTGATCCATTGGTCCTGAACTGGAACTGCTGAGGGGAAACCTGTTGCACCACAATGCAGAAAGTTTTGTATTCCGGCCCAGTGGCTATTTTGGCAAAGCCTAAAATAAAAGAGGGTTTGAAAAAAAGGGGCTTCCTAGTGTCAAAAAAATATGTTTAAGGAAGGAGAGGGTGTTGTAGCTGCAATAATTGTCTCCACGTGTATCATGGCTCCCGCCATGTCATCAGGAATAACTTACTCCTGACGAAGCTGCAGGAGCCGTGATACATGTGGAGTTTCTTCTACCAACCTGGCTAAATTTGAATGGAGTCCTTTAACACAATGCACATTAACACGTTCCATAAAAGTACAATAATGCAAAGCACCAGAATAGCAAATATGAGAATGGGCCCTTAGAAAGTATTAAATAGGGATGTCCCGATACCGATGCTAGCATCGGAATCGACAGCACACACCTCCACTACACTCCAGCAATAGATTTACAATTCTCCCCTGCTAACATGAATAGGTTAAACCATGATCCATAGTACATAACATGTAGTTGTACTATGGATCATTTAAAGTCACCTGTCCCTTTAAGAAAAAGTATCAGTAATTGGTATCGGCAAGTACATGAGGGGATGTACTTGTACTTGGGCCTGAAAAAGTGGCATCGTGACATCCCTAGTATTAAATTAGGTCCAGTATGTACTTGTACTTGTACTTGGGCCTGAAAAAGTGGCATCGGGACATCCCTAGTATTAAATTAGGTCCAGTGTCTCAGTAACAGCAGTTGAGAGTGAATAGGCTGCCGTATTTTAATACTGAGAAGACTGGTAAACATTTCTGGAATTACTTTTATTGCCTTTTGCTGGCTGGAACAGTGCTTGATACATCTGTTGTACATGTAGGTTGGATGTTACAGTTTTGCACACCCAGCTCAACATATTGGAGAAAGGTGGGGGCAGCTTTGAAAGAGGGGGGTGGGGCATGCCCAATGCAATGGATATGAGCCATTGTCTGTTTCTATTATATCTCCTATAGCAAAGAAAGAGACAAAGAACCTTACACCTTCATATTTGAGGGCCAAAATGGCCTACAAAATTGTCTTAATCCATCACCTATTTTACCTACCTAGAAGGAACCATGTCATTCCTGCTGCTACAATAATAATAACAAGTATCCATAGAGGCGCACATTTCAGCCAGTCTCGGGATGGCCACACACTGCTCACAGGCTCCACCAGAGACTCTACATCCTGAAAGAGGACAAAATGATATAACAGCTCAGCCCCCACAACATACAACAAGCAATGACATGGTGCTAATAATTAATGAATGGAAGCTAACATAAAATAGGAACAGAAGGTATGCATGTAGCATCAAATATATTGTTCATGTTAGACACAGCTGTAGAAGTTTAAATAGAAACACCTTGATGTGCAGCAGACAGGCTGTGGTAAACATGGCTATATTGTACTGATAATTGGGCTTGACCTTTAGTTGTACTTTATGCGTAGCATATTCCCAGAGCGATTTCCACAAGAATGCGCATACTTCCAAATTATGGCAGACTTACCTCCTAGTCTGCTCTTCCAGCTTTGCAAGGTGTGTGCTCCCCCATGTTGTTCCAACACCACAGCTGCCGTCTTCTCTTAGTCGAGTGTCTTCTCTCCTCGACCATTGGGTGGCCATTGACGGTGGTCTGCTCATGTGCACTGGAGTCTCTGGAGCCTGCTCTTACTCCCAGCATCTTATGGGTGCCTGAATTGTACACTGTGTATGCTCTGAAGACAATGTACAATACAAAATATTGCAAGCAGGAAGGGAAAGGTTTTTTATGGCAGAAGAGACATGCAACGTCTCCTCTGTCAGAAAACTTTATCTGCTAACATTTTTTTAATATTAAGTTTGGGTACATTTTAAATAGGTATACTTACCAAAAGTCTGAGCCTACTTGCAGTATATACTGCATGCATACTGTGTTTCGCACATATGATACATATCTTAAACTTGCAAAATACTCCATAATGACAATAATTCTATAATGTGCTACAAGCGACAATCTTACACACATAAACCTGAAGACAAACTGAAAAAGTCACTTAATATGCATTTCTCCTCACAGAACAGGGGCTCTCCCTGACGTGTTTTTGCTCAATGTGAGTGTAAACACCCAACAGCTAAACAGCAACTGAAGTTGTTGCTGACACACACAAAGATAGTCCTAGAAAGGACCGTTGAGTCTATGCACTGTGGGGGGTACACATTAATATGTAGTCCATTACATTGCAATACACAGTAATGTAGCACAATACAGTACAATGAACACAAAGGGGTTGGGGGTTACACACTGTGTAGCCCACCACACTGCCATTCCAATTAGGATAGCACAATACAGCACTGTATACAGCACTGTTTAGTACTGTATAGTATAGCAGCAACTATCTCTGTCAGCTCTTCCTATCTACAAACACACTGCACATAGCACTGTTTAGCACTTAATAGTACAGCAGCAAGTATCTCTCCCTGCAAACTCTCAGTCAGCTCTCACTATCTACTCTGAGCCCCCAACACACAATGACAAAAGGCTGCTGGGAACCATGAATCTTATAAGAAAATCCCCATTAAGAAAATCCCCATTATTTAATCTTCAAAAGTTAAAAGTCCAGGAAGTGCATTTCTGGTAACTGTTTGCTATAATGGTGGATGGACGCTTTAGTTCACCATTTTGCTGAACATGGAATGACTTGGGTTTGGGTCAGTCCAATGTTTGACCCAAACCTGAAGCTATCCTAGTTGGAAATTTGTTCACACAGACTTGTAAAGTTAATTAAACCATGTGCATTGCACCATTTCTTACAGCTCTATTTCAGCTATTGTTTGTAGTTTTGGATAGAGTGGGGAACAGTTCAACATCCTGCCAGGTTTTTATTTGTCTGTCATCCCTATGGGGAGATTTCCCTTCACTTCTATTCCCTGTGATTCCTATTAAAGTAATAAAAGGTATGGTTGTCCCCGAGGCATAAAGCCACAAAGAGCAATAAAGATATTGTCAGAGGTTTTAACACTTCCTCACTTTATACCTTGCCCCACCCTATTAAAAACAAAATTTGGCTGGAGTTGGGCTTGAAGCCCAACTGAACTTTCAACTTGAAGCAACTACATGCATTAGGTCTTATAGTTTGCTTTCAGTAGAAAGAGGAGAAAATCCTTTCTCCTGGTAGCATGCTGCAGAGAAGGACCGGTACAATCTGTGGGGAAGTGTGTCAAACCTCTGCAGGTATGCTGAGTCAGAGCTCTCCAATCTGCAGGGAGTATGAGCTTTGCTGATTATAGGTCTGACTCAACAGGGAGTAGTGCGGAGAGACCACTGCTTCCCTACAGAGAGCTAGAGTCCTTCTCTGCAGCCTGCTGGGTGGGGGAAGGATTTTCTTCCAAGGCTATGGTTGGATTCTAAAGAAAACAAGCTGTAAGACTTTGAACACCTTTTTAGGTACACCTGAAAGTTTATTTGGGCTTTACATCTTACATTTATTATATTTCATTGCACAGCAAAAAATGTGCAATGCAAAATGTAACCATTGACTGAATATTGCCAGTACCTATCTTGCAGCCTTTTTCATTTGCAGTGTACATTATCTCACCTACAGTATGTCTGCTGTGAATGTGGTATAGTTACATAGTTACATAGTATTTGTGGTTGAATAAAGAATCAAGTTCAACCTATTACATGTATGTATGTGATTCTGCATGTGTATGCATGTGTACGAGTTCCTGTGTGATCTTGTTTTAAGGGTACCTGTACCCCTTTATGTTTTGGTCTCTGAGGAAGTTGTCCAAATGCTTTTTGAATGATTCAACACTCTCAGCTGATACCACTGCTTGTGGCAGTGAGTTCCAGACCCTACCTGCTCTAAATGAGAAGAAGCCCCTATGCCCCTTGTGGTTAAATCTTTTCTCCACCAGTTTTAGGTGGCGGCCTCTAGTCCTTGTTATGGAGTTTATAGTAAAACATTTATTGCTGAAGTTGCTATCCCCATTGAACATCTTGTACATCAAAATCATGACCCCCTTATTCTCCTCACTTCCAGCGTGAACATGCTTAGATTTAGCAGACAAACTTAAACACAACGCCAGCAGTTTAAGGTTCAAAAAAGTGACAAACAGTGGTGTTCGGAGTGCAGGGCGATAACGGGGCAGCTCTCACCAGGTTCAGAATAACCTCAGCACTGCAAGACAAGACACAGAGAGCGCCTCCATCGCATAAATTTTTTTTAATAAACAAATAAAAAAATGGTATAAAGGTAGATTCGGCCTCATCTGGAGTATGCGGTCCAGTTTTGGTCACCAATACACAGGAAGGATGTCCTTGAGCTGGAAAGGGTCAAGAGAAGGGAAACTAAACTAATTAAGGGAATGGAGGACCAAAGCTATGAGACAAGATTACTAAATCTAAACATGCAAGACAAGACACAGAGTGCGCCTCCATCGCATAAAAACTTTTTAATAAACAAATAAAAAAATGGTATAAAGGTACTCACAAAAGTCGAGTAAAAACAGGCATATAAGGGTCAGAACGAGAGGTGCATATCCACCGGATGTTCGTCTTCCCTGGTAGTAAAGTGGTTTACGCGTTTCAGAGGTCACGCCTCCTTCCAATTGGTTCTGAGGAAGGAGGCAGGACCTCTGGTTCTGAGGAAGGAGGCCTGACCTCTGAAACGCGTAAACCACTTCACTACCAGGGAAGACGATTTTTAACTAGGGATGAGCTTTGGGTTCAGGTTGAACATGAGTTCAATCCAAACCCAGCCTGTTCGCAATTCAGCAAACAGGTGAGCAAACTAGTCACTTTTGGCCAGTTAGCCTCCGTTTCCATATGACATTTAGGGGAGGTAGAACAACAGCCACTAACTGACCTGACAGATCCCGGTCGGCTTCTGTTTGTAAACAAGCCAGCGGGATCCTGGGTGATGTCATTGACAGAATATAGTCATGATCATATTTGGTAAATGACATCACCGGAAATTCCTACTGCTGTCTCTACATTCCAGCAGTGCTAGAATACATGTGCTCACACCAAGCTTTGTGGAGTACAGTCATGTGTCTCCTCATGCCTACGGCAAAAGGACTGGTAGATTTACCACGCTTGATACGCTGCAGGCAGAAGCTGAAAACTACTATGGTGCTGTGAAAAAAGCCCAAACTGCTCGTAGGGAGCAGAACTGGAAATTCCAGTGGCTTGCACGTTGCACCCATGGAGCAGTGCTATGCAGTGGAACAGGGCAGCTGTCCACACCTCTACAAGCTGCCACTCCACAACATCCCGCCTCACTGATGTTGTGCCTCTCTCTTGCTTTACTCCTCTAATTCTTGGGCAGCCAGGTGTGATCTGCCACCTCATTATTTTATAATTTCTTTATTAGCAGAGAAACTTAACAGGAAAAAAATAAAAAGTGTGTGTGTGTGTGGGGTGGGGTGGGGGGGCTTTGGAGAAAGGGCTCGGGGGCAGCAGCAACACTGCAATGCAATTCACAGTAATGGAACACTGAACAACATAGTGAATATGGGCTGGGGGGGTATACTCCACATTCTGTAGCCCACCGCACTGCAATTCACTGTAGTGTAGCAGTGGCACTATGTTGCTCTGTATATAGCAACTGTATAGCTGTGTAAGTAGCACTGTACAGCAGTCACTATCTCTCCTTGAAATCCCTCTGAATGTCGGCTGTCCCTACTACTCCAACTACAACACACATTGGCAAAAGGCTGATGGGAGAGCTGACTATTATAGGGAGGGGGCTGGCACATTTAAAATCCCCTATTATTGGCCAAACTTTGCCACCTGCCCATAGTTCACATGTCATGCGATGCATTATGAAGTTCACTTTAGGTGCTTTGGAAAACGTGCCCGTAAGTTCACCGTTCAGGCGAACAGCCAAACTCTGAAATACCACAAATTTAAACCTCATCTCTACTGAGTAGGTTTAACCACTTCCTTTCTGGAGCAATTTCTTAATTTTTGCACACACTTGATAAAATCTGAATTTAAGGCTAAAAAACTGCTTAAAATCCCCAAACGATGATATACTTTCTGAAAGAAGAGGCCCTGTAGAATAAAAAATCCTAGTTGCAATTTTTTATGTCACACAATATTTGCACAAATGTTTATCAAACCAGTATTTTTAGGATAAAATACAATAAACATTATAATGAATTGTAGTGCACACACACACACGTAATAGGCCAAGGTATCTTGGCCGTACTTGTGGGAGGAGTTGCGCCGGCTCTCCTCCCCTTAAGAAGGGGGACAGGGAGCTCCTCGTCACGGCAAAGTCGCGTCTCACTGTGACGTCACTTCCGGAGCGTATACTGGGGGGCTGCTTGCTGGGCTTCTTTCGGTTGGCAGATCGGCGCAGCGGCCAACAACAAAAAATGCTGTGTGCTGGGACGTGGTGGGTGCTGGCTCGTTTCCAGGAGTATTGTATGTGTTTCTCTTTCTCTGCTGTAACTCTGTTGTGGATTCTGCTATAGGTTTGGTGCATCCTGGTCGGCGGTGCGTTGAGGTAAGTTGTGTTTTTTTGTCCACTTTCTGTACTGGTCGGTTGTGCATAGGTGGGGTTCCCTGCATGGGTAGGGTGGGGTTGCGTGGCACTTTAGGTCGGGTCGCTGACCTTTTTCATCGGGGGTCACTTGTGGTCCATACGCTTGGTTGCTGATGTTGTCCAGGCCGCTGGACTAGGTGGGGTCTCGCGTTACTGCTCGCAGGTTTGGTTCAGGCCGCTGGACCGTCACGTCGGGTCAGTTAGTGTAGTTGTAGGTTGGTTTAGTTGGCACGTTTGGTTCAGGCCGCTGGACTGTCACGTCAGGTCGGTTAGTGTAGGTTACGGTTAGTAAAGTTTGCACGTTTGGTTCAGGCCGCTGGACTGGCACGTCAGGTCAGTTAGTGTAGTTAACGGTTAGTTTAGTTGGCACGTTTGGTTCAGGCCGCTGGACTGTCACGTCAGGTCAGTTAGTGTAGTTGAGGGTTAGTGTAGCGGGCGCGTTTGGTTCAGGCCGCTGGAAAGAACTTCGGCGAGGGGGACTCCAGCTGGGGACACTCCGGCCAGGGGTTCGGAGAAGGGTAGCCCGCCGTCCCTCCGGGCTTGGACTATACCGAAGATAGTCACGGAGCTTCAACTCCTTACTCGGCCACTGCCAGGAAGGCTGAGCTGTTCAGACTATTGTTCCCGCCTCCGGCAGCCGGTGATGGTGCTACGCAGGTGGCGTTACGTACGATCACGGCATCGTTGACGCAGTTACATGCATCGATGAACGCGGTGGCCGCGTCTGTTCTGGAGTTACGGGACAGGACACTTACTTTCCTGGGCATTACGTTAGATACGGGGTCCTTGCAGGCTAGCCTGCCTCAGGATAAACTCGAGAGGATTCGGGAGGGGTTACATGGGCTGGTAGTGTCTCCGCAGTGTACGAGGAGGCATTTGCAGTCGGTTTTGGGGATGTTGAACTTTGCCATGAGGATCATACTGCAGGGGCGGTCCTTCATTTCCAGGTTGTTGGCTCTGCTGCCAACGGCCGCCGATCTCGATGCCCTGATCCACGTGGACGCGGCCGGTCGGGCGACTTGCTGATGTGGGATGAGTTTCTGCGGAGGTGGAATGGGATTTCCATGTTTATACTGCAGGCTACGGCATCCTCTTCGCGGGTCGTCTCGGACGCCGCGGCCTCGGTTGGCTTTGCGGCAATTTTTGGCACTCACTGGTTTTCCAGAACTTGGCCTGAGGAGGTAAGAGCTGTCCCGGCCTTTTTTGAAACGTCAGCATTATTTGAGATTTATCCCATAGTGGCAGCAGCTATTACGTGGGGGCGGCTTTGGATAGGTCAGACGGTGACCTTCTTTAGCGATAATCAGGCGACGGTGGACATCATCAATAAAGGCAGGTCCAAGTCCCTGTTGATTATGTCCTTTCTACGCCGGTTGACATGGCTGGCGTTACATTACAAGTTTAATATATCATGTGTATTCATTTCTGGTAGGAGCAATGTGGCGGCTGATGCATTGTCGCGGCTTAATATGCAAGTTTTCTTTCAACAGATGCCAGAAGCAGATGCTCGCTCCACAGTGGTGCCGTTGTTCCAGCAGTTACTACTGGACTAGATAGACATCAGCGCAACGCGACCAGGCTTATTGATGACTCCCTGTCGAGCAATACTCGTAGGGCTTATACAGGGGCGTGGCAGCTCTTCAATAAGTTTGTGAACAGACATAAGGTGCCGGACCCTGGTAATACCTCGAGCCTCCTAGCCTTCGTAGCTTATTGTCATACGGACCTTAAGCTAGCTTACAGCACGATCAAGATGTATCTAGCCGGGGTGCAACATTTTTTGGCGTTGAGTCACCCGGACAGGCCTTCCGTGTTTTCCTTGCATCCTATCAAAGCTATTCTCAAGGGCATCCAGAAATCCCGGGCTACGGTGCCAGGCACCAGGAAACCCATATCCAGTGATATGTTCAGGGCCTTGGCCGAGTCGTTAGACAAGGGGCCATTCGGTTTAGTACCCAGTATAGTTTTTAAAGCCGATATTTACCTGGCTTTTTATGGGTTTTTAAGACCGGGTGAGTTCACAAGGGTGAACAGTAGGTCGTGTGTGGTCTTACGAAAACATTTAGTAAAGTATCCTGGGTCCTATACTTTTATCTTTGGCTCGAACTAAAACTAATCAGGTGGGTACACCTTCTGTTGTCACTTTTTTCCCTTCCGGCAATGCGTGGTGCCCCGTCCAGGTGGTGGAGCAGTTAAACTCCCAGTTAGCGACACGGCCAGACGACAGTCCTCTGTTGCCGTTTCCCCACGACCCGTTGACTTCAAGTGTTTTCATCCGGCATGTGCGGGTGCTCCTGGCCCAACTTGGAGTAAACACAAAGCATTACTCGGGTCACTCGTTCCGGATAGACGCAGCGTCAGCCACGTCCCGGCACGGTGTGCCAGCCCACGTAATTAAATGTTTGGGTAGGTGGAACTCTAATTGTTTCAGTAAGTATGTTCCCAGTCCTAGATCGGAGATGGCTGAGGCCTTCCGCAAACTGGCTTGTTGATTAGGATCAATAAAGGCATTACCCTACTCGCTTGTTTTTGCCCACTTATTTGGCACGCTGACCACAAAATCATGGCACACATCAGGTTGGTATCAGTAGGGGTCATGAAGATTCGGAAACCGAAGTAACTCTGACCACAAATATAATACTCAATTTTATGGTATAATATAAAGGATGGGGTTGTGTTGGGTAAAAAGACACCAAACATGTCAAGCCTTAAAATTGCGTGTTCCCGAGAAATGGCAAAAAAACTACAGTACTCAAAATTGCTCATAGGCGATGCTTTAACAGCCTTTGCCGCTCATCAATTTAGAGTTATCAATGAGTGATGGCTCTAGAATTATTGCTCTCACTTTGGCATTCATGGTGATATGTAGTGTGTGGCTCAATCATCGTTTTTGCATATAGGCACACCCACCTGTATGTGCGTGTACATGGGGGAGTGGGGATATTACTATAAAAATTATTATCATTTTTTAAACTTTTTTTGCACTTAACTTCATTGCTATCACATCTGTGATAGCACAGATACAGTGACAGGTCAACTTTTTGGAGACATCAGGGGTCTATTAGACCCCTAATGTCACCTATAGATACAAAAGAAGCTGATGGAGCACAGATCGTGCTTCATCAGCTTCTTCTCCTTATGACAGGCTGAAACTGGAAGTGATTAAATAAACTCTGCTTCTGGTTTCAGTGATTGTAGTTGAGATCAGCCACTGGAAGTGTGCTGATCTCCCTCCAATCCAGGCACACAGATCCTCACGGGGTACAGTGAAGCCCGGGATAGCAGCTGTGATCGTGGTATAACCACTTCAGGACAGCACCATTAATATCCATATGGTGGTCCTGAAGTGGTTGAATAGCTTTCTCAGACAAGACTTCATCATCATCCAACTCACATTATGGCATAAGGGCCCAGTCACACCATATCCAGTGCGTTCCATTGCTTTTCGGGCCCGGAATGCACTGGATCGCATAGATCAGGCCGGGCTGCGTTCTGGGGTGGGAGGGGGCACGGAGGTGCCATTCATGTCAATGGCACCGCATGAAAAGCCCCCCACCCATAGTACGATCACCAGCACTCTAGTGGGCTATAGTGAACAAAGTAAGGGATATAGAATCCTCCACCGAAAGACTGACAAAGTGACAATAAGTTGCAGTGTTTATTTTGAATAGAACCCATCACCAGAAACAATGATCATGGGAAGTTGAGAAGTGAATTTGCCCAGTGAACCAGCAAAGGAAGCTGAGCAAAGTGAAGCCGCAAAGGAGTTAGAACAAGAGGTGGAACTCACAATGGATAACTCATATTCCATGTTAAATTCTGAAATTAGAAGATCCAGTCGAGCAGCAAAGAGAATACCACCCTGCAAGTTGTCATATACTGCTAAGATAAAATCAGAAAGGGTCAACCCTGGAACCAAGCACAACGATGTGAAGTATCATCTGCTAAGGAACACTCAAGAGCAAGCCATTATCGACATGCAATATTACTCAACAGAAGAAATGACTGTGGATGCACTCACCAAGCCATTGCCAAAGGAACGTCACAGTTTCCTTCGGGAGAAGATGAACGTCATATGGTAATGCATATGCTGTGGAGAAGGGCTGTTGGAGATGCAACAGCATACTGATTGTGTTGCTGACTGTATGTCTTTTGAGCATTAGATTGCGATGTAGTGCAATTTCAGTCTCTATGCCTATGCATGTTTGTCTATGATCTTTATGTTTTCCTGCATGATGCTGTATACATACACGTAATGTCCTGCTAAGCAAGTAAAACCTAATTCAGCATTCCTCGAGACTTCAGTGTTTCATCTAAACACATAATCAACAGTTAACACAACATCTGAATGATATAATTGAAAATCAATTACATGCATTTATATACATTTAGAAATGTGCTCTAAACCCTTAGAAAAGCAGATCTGACCCTGCCATATGAATGAAGCCTAACAGGGTTATTCACTAAAGGGAGAAGAGTTTGGAGAAGGCAGGAGAATGGGAACAATCTAGGACAACATAGCTGAACTGGAAAGTGAGCTGCATTGGAGAACTTTTCCAAATCAGCTATTTTGGCCTGAATAGTTAACTTCTCCTGCCTTCTCCAAACTCTTCACCCTTTAGTGAATAACCCTGAAAGTGTTGCTGTATAGAGACTGCAAGAGGCTGATACCAGGTCAGAGTCAGGTATATATGCTGCATGATGTATCAAATTATTTCAGAGCTGCATTAAATAAATCAATGAGTAATAGATTGTTATTTCCTAATTTGAACAAAGTCACCCTTGCATATACTCCCTCATTTGAGCTTTCCCTTCACAGATCTGTTCCTGAATCTATTGTTCCCTACGGTAATACGCAGCTGCTGCCGCTACTGTACGTGCTGTTAAATGATCCCTTTTGTCATGGGCTGGGAGAATGGGAATTAACCTGGTACAATGAT